GTTGACAGAACGAATACTGATCCAAAAATCTTACCTTATTTAATTCTTTCAAAAGAACAAAAAGGTGAAGATATTATTTTTTATTTAGCATGTCAATTTGGTTCATTATCAACTAGGTTCACCATTGAGAGTCTTGTTGATCTAAGAACAGCTTGTCCTAAATTTAGATGTGTTTGAACTTAAAGATGAAATTACTTTGATAGAAACATCGAAATTGTTTGTTCGTGGAGCTACGTGTGATTGTAAAACGAAATGTGTGACAAAACACTGCCCATGTAAAAAAGCAGGAGTCACATGTTCAACAAAATGTCATTCAAAAAGAGGTGCATGTGAGAATACAAAATAATATCCCAAAAATGTGAATCTTCTCATCTTTCTTTTTCTCGTCTTGCCATATAGTCCAGAGGTTTACCTTTATTCTTTTTCTACTCGCTGTTAGTATTGTTTATCGTTCTATAATAAGGAACTAACTAAGAAAAATGTAAATAGTTAATTGTCTTTCTAGAAACTTGTTTCTAAAAACCGACAACGTACAATTGTTCTCTTAAATGTTTCAACAGAACGTATGAGAAACAATCAAGCAGTCAAAAAGCAACTCGTGTACATTGAGAATATCCTTTTAATATTGTATAAAAAAACCTGTTCTAAATCAAATAAAATATTGAGTTCACTAGAGATGTGGTTGTGATATCCTGATATCATTTCTACATTCACCTTCATCCACATCGTGTTCATTGTTTCTTACATATAAGTTTATGATTATATAATTTCCAATCTATAGTTTGACATTCTTTTGTACAATAACGTGCTTGTTTACATTTACTGCAAACACATGGTGCATTTGCTTCTCCACAACATCGACACATATTGACTATGTATTCGGATTCACTTTGCATCATAATTGATGAAAAATCATCGACACGAATCACTGGTATCCTGTCACTCGCACCTATTCGTAGATATGGATTAATAATATTCATTTTACTACCAATTCTAAACACTTTAGTAGTAAAGTATTCTCCATGATCTTCAGGAAAACCATAAACGCATATCTTTATGCAATCGAGATGTTCATCTTCAATCACCAGATGAATTGATGGCATCCACGAATAAGCCTCTCCGATGATTTTTACCGAAAGTACATATCCTTCATAAACATGATCCTTTATTGGATTCATTTCTCTTATTGTAATTGGTTTCAATCCAATCAACGATTTGACTGTTCGCTGCGGAACTCGAGGTTTATGAGTAGTGTATACGGCACTAGCTGAATTGTCTCTGGCTTGTAAGAATTCGTTTTGCCATTTACGATGTTCTAGTATAACTGCAATTCGATCCGGATTTTTTAGTCGTGATTTATCACTAATGACAGGAGTTGGGGACTCTGTATTCAGCGAAGATTTTTCATCGAGCATCTCTTTAATAAGGGTTTTATTGTCCGATTTATAAGGTAGAAAACACGGTAATTGCAGTTTTTCCGCTTCTTCACCTTGTTGATATATTTTCTTGACATTATCGGTATTGTCTTGGTGCTTTTCGTGCAAAAAATAACAACTCGCCATTCCATAATATGATTCGGGTACTTTTCGATGATCCTTGGGAGCAGCTGCCAGAAATGCTCGATACGCTCTGATAGTCTCGCTCATATCCTTACCTATCAGTCGCAATGCAACGGCTTTATTATACAATAATTCATAGTTCTGTGGATCTATTGCTAATCCGGTATTAGTATCATACAATGCTGTCTCATATTGACCTAACGAACAGTTTACTACCGCACTTAACTGAAAAAAATAAATTGATTTCGGATATCTTTGTTGACATGGACCAAGAAACTCAGCAATTTCTTTTAGTGAGTCCATATGTAAAACAGCGTAACATATTCGAACATCTTCATCGAGTCGTGAGACACCACTAGTTGATTTGGTATCCGTAGCACATCGACGAAGAACACGATCAACAATTTCATCTGTTTTTCGACCGATTTCCATAGTAGGAAATTGAGCGACTATATGTTCGATACGAAAGCATAGTGACAGTTCGTCGACAAATATGTTTTCTTCATTTTCTGTTAAAGTTTTTGCTTGCTTGATTATATTTAATGCTTGCTTTAAATGTTCCAGAGCATCACACATTTTCCTTGCGGTCATCGAACCACGATTGGCATGTTCAATTAAAATGTTATAATCATAGACATGTGACTGGTCAGTTTGTTTATCTATGTTCTCTTTTCCTTGACATGATTCTGAAACATTTCCTGTTGCATTAATCCTTTTCACAGTATTTAGTCGACATTGATCAATTTCTTGCTGCTTTTCCTGTAACAGTTTCTCAAATATAGGACGGTGAGTTTGAGTAATAATATTGCCTGCTTCGCACGCTCGATCATACCAAATCTCTGCCATTTGAAGTTCATTTTTATCCAATAACATCTTTGCTAAACTCTGCATGGCATTTGCTTCACCTTTTTTAGCTGCCATTTCAAACAATTGTTTGGCCTTGTCAAGATTCTTTTGCACACCAATACCGTTGTAGTACATCAAAGCCAAATTATTGGCTGATGGAACATATTCGTGAGCGATAGCCCGCTCATACCAATACACAGCAGTTTGTAGATTTTTGTGAACGCCGATGCCTTCAGCGTATCGATGACCTAAAGCATGTTCAGCTTCTGCTACACCCGGATTTCGAAAATTTTTCAGTTTCGAATACATTGGTGGTTGTGCGGCTGCTTGCTCATAAAGTTTTTGAGCTAAATTATGATCCTTCTTCGCACCAAGACCAAGATCAGTCAATCGAGCTAAATTATATAATCCTTCGGCATTTTTTTGGCCTGCTGCTTTTGAAAAATACCTAGCTGCTGTCTCATAATTTTGTTTAACATCAATATCTCCATGTTCGTATCTGTGTCCTTGCGTCAAATCCGCTACGGCTGGATCGATTTCTTCAAGTAAACGCAGAGCAAGGAGTGTGTGCTCTGGATCTATACCGAATTTCTGCTGTTTTTCATTTAATCGTTCAGGTATCGACATTGGTCTTTGTTCTGGATTAAGATGGTTGTGCGACAGTTGTCGACTGTGTATTTCACGATTTTCGTCCAATGCTTTCTTTATTTTGTCGTTTGCGGGATCGAGAGCCAGTGCTCGTTCAAGTGAATTAATCGCTTTTTCATGTTCATTCAAGGCAGCGTATACTTCTCCAACACGCAAATGTCCTTTCCACCATGAAGACCAAAGATTTCGGGCTTGTTTAGCATTTTGCAGTGCACGATATCGTTGATCCCTTGGATCGTCAATTTCAAATCTTCCAATAGGACCTGCTTGTTGCTCATTCAGCGCAAGACGAGTAGAAGCCATATTGGAAAAGAAAATAGCACGGTCATGATCTGCAATACTCGGTAAAACTGCTGCTTTTGTAAATAATGTGATTGCGTCGGAAAATTTTCCATCTTTATGAGCTTGAGTGCCAAGTGAGTTCAAACGTGATGCTTCTTTCACGTTGTCTTCATTAATTACTTGAGTAGGAGATTCGAAAATACTGTCATCCTTTAGTTTATCTAATTCAGTGTCTATATCACCGAGTGCAACTAGAATTGCCGTTAAATCAGTCCACCACTGATTAAATTTAGCAGTAGCAACGGATTTTGACGCGTGATGAGCCAAATCATTTCGAATATCTCTCAGTTGCTCCAAAAGTTTATTTTCTTGGTCGAGTTGTTGTATTTCAGCTGCATTTAGTGTTTTGGGGCGGTCACCGTATATCAGAAGAGCAGTTAGTGTAGTTAAATCCCATTCATTTGAATTTCCATTAGAAACAGATACCTTTTGCACTGGTGTTAAATTTATTTTTTTATTTTTTTTAATGACATTTTTCAAATAATTTTTCCCACATGTGAGTGTATCATTCCATATTTGACCACCGTTAAATTGAGAATAACGATTCTTAAACAGCTGACAAAGTGGACCATGCGAACGTGTTAACAAGAGTTCCAATTTGAAATAATTACGAACATCAGATGAAATGTTGGCCATATGGTAAAAGTACCCTACTATGAAAGGCGTCACCTATTTGCAAATACCCTACTACGTTCTCGGCCTGTCCACGCAACGGTCGCCTTTTCGTGATTACGTCACGATTTTTGTTGTTTTACGAGTCTCGTGGCGCTCGAACAAAAGGAAACTCAAGGACCGTTTACATCTAGTCTTGTAGAGAAAAGTGAGCTGAACAAAATGTGATATTTTCTGTTTCCGCAGAGTGTCGTGGTTCTCAAATATAACAAAAGTTTTACGAG